TCTTTATTCAACCTCAAATACTATGTAACTATGTAACTATGAGTATTGCAGCAAATGTTTTTTTCCTTTTATTGAGCTATTCATTTTAATTTTTAGCTGGAGTTTTGCTTTAACTCTATTTCTCACTTTATCTCATGATGGTTTTGCCTTAAACATATTTAATACACAAACATAAATATCTGTTAAAGCTAAAAGGTTACAGAATTAAAGGTCCCTGCAATAAAAGAGGCCTCTAAGGATGAGTTCAGGTTCAAACCAAACCTGGCTGAACCTCAGCTCATTCAAACCCGGAAGTGCCATGGGACCACCCGCCCTATTAGCTGTGGCTTGGGCATTCCCTGCTCTGCAGCTTCTCATAAACAAAGGGGTGGGATGCTTGTGCTGATGTCACTGACCTGATATGGTCAGATGGCCATATTAGGTCAATTCACTGACCAAATATAGCCATGTGGCTATATAGCATCCTGCATCTTTGCTTACGTGCAGCTGCAGACAGGCAGTTCCTCGGTTTGGGTGACAGCAAAAGGTGCTTCCATCCACGTTTGGAGGAGCTCAGGTTCAGATTGGGTTTCGGTCCAAACCAGAGCTCTTATGTACCCACCTCTATGGCAGCCTGTGTCTCCTACCTTCCCTTGGTTGCAGTGCTGCAGCCTTCATAAGACCTTTCGACATTCATCATCTTTGATGCTGATTTTTTATTTTATTTTTTCGTAACCTAGGGTCGCTTAAGTATGAAGTTGTCATTTTCCACATGAAATGAACATTTAACTGTTGAAAGCTAAGAAATCGCTATTTTGCCTGACGAAGAGTCATTGTTCTCATCACTTCAAATCCTTTTACTGCTTCCCTCAATAGGCACCTCTTCAAGAAGCTAGTAGTAGTTTAAGTAGTGATAACTTGTGCAGTAATCTTTGAAAATTGATTTTGACATTGATTTTGTAAGAGCTGGTAGAATAACACTGTCATTGTTATAATAAGCCAGGTAGTGGTAAAACACCATTAAGCACACAGGAGGCTAAATAAACTCTTATAAACCTTTGTAAAGTGGGCTTTTACAGTATAACTAAGCTATATAAGTTATGAAATCAAGCAAATAACAGCCGAACAAGAGCAAGAAAAAAAAAAGGCTTTGTGAATTGAACCTTCGACTATTTTAATGCAGAAAAAAAGTTCTACTGACTGCAAAGGCTGCAGATTGGCATTGGTTATCAAGTGTATGATCTACCAGAACACCCAGGTCCTTCTTTATCATTGATTTGGACAAATTTACTCAGCCTAGACTATATGAAGCATGCATGTGTTGAGCCCTCAAGCACACATTACATTTATCAACATTAAACCTCATTTGCCATGTTGTTGCCCAATTGAACAGTGAATCCAGGTCAGCTCTCACGTATATTGGTATCATTATAACACAGAGCAGTCAGGAAGTTAGACGAGAAATGTTGTAACTGTACCACGGGTTATCCCAAGGGTTTTAGAAAGCTGGGTGAAGGGAATGACAGAAAACAAGGTGTAATACTTACTTTACCACTAGATAAAAAATTGCATCCAAAACTACCTAAAAAAAAGCTAAGTACCACACTGCTTTGTCTTAAAAGTTTAATAAAATGTCAAAACAGAGTGCACAAAAACACTTTAAACCACAGCCCCACACTACATGACCCGCTCCCATGCCTGTATTCCCATCTATTCCCAAAATATCAAAAATCTACACTTTAGATATGTGTTTGGTAGAAATTGGCTAGCGTCAAAACAGTACTGGAGCACTTCAATAGGCAGCAAATAGAAAGAGCTCTGCAATGTTGGCTTTTTTTAACCTTTTTTCCTGATCACAGCACTGTTGTGGTCTTCATCCTTTGCCTGTAGATATAAGCTTTGGCCAAGGTATCAGTCATGTGGGTACCACATGCAGGAACCAGCCCATGATTATGTGCCAAAGAGCTTTGTGGGAGCACCTCAATGATACCAGTTAGCAGCAAAAGGCCCACACTCCATCTTGTCCCTCACTTTCCACCTCCCTCCACAAGATTATCCATCTTCATATACTGCCAATTTCTGCAGCCTCAAGCAATAGGGAGGGCGAAGTCTGACAAGGAGTTTCAGACTTGGTGGTCTGGCAAGCATGGGCAAGGATGTTACATCTCCTTCTTGGCCTACTGGGTAAATTTGCTGGCGGCTGGGAAGGATGCAGGAGGGGGCACACCACTGGAGCTGGTGGTGCTGCCACATTTCTGATGCTAAAAGCGCAGTCACCTGTACCCTTCCTCACTGGCCTCAACCTCTGATTTCTGCTCCAAGCACTCCAGAATCTACACAATGGCCCAAGCAAAAGCTGTCATGCTGTTTTTCAGCTGGTATGCCTGGAAGACAGGAGCCACACTGGAAGCTCTTCATGGACAGGCAGGTTGTGTGTGACAACAGCACCAACTTGCCAGCCGCCCTTTGGCAGGGAAAGTTCACACACAGTTTGCCAGTCCATGTCCTAAACATTGTGGTGCAGAAGTTCCTGGCTAAATACCCTGGCTTTCAGGATGTCCTGCAGCAGGCCAGAAGAGTGGTCATACCCTTTAAGTGTTCATCTGGCTAAAATGCAGCAGCAACACTAGTTGCCTGCCAACCGCCTGATATGTAATACCCCCACGCGTCCAAACCCAATGTTGGCCATTTTGCACTGGCTGCATCAGCAGCAAGAAACCATCATATCAATGGCTTTTGATTCAGGACGAATGCAACATCTTGTCAAAGAGGTGACCATTATGGTGAGCGGCAACAAGGCAGGGATTAGCAAAACAATCCCTCTGGTATTCCTACAGAAACACACACTGCATGGTTTAATAGACAGGGCCCTGGAGGCACAGCAGCAGGAGGAAGGGGACATCCTGCTGTCTCAGGAAGGAGGAAGGTTGGAGTGCTGGTGATATAGAGGAGGACCAGTGTTGGGGTGCTGGTGGTAAAGAGGAGGAGGAGGGTTGGAGTGCTGGCAGTAAAAAGGAGGAGAATTGGGGTGCTGGCAGTGAGAAAGGTTTTGGTGCTGGCCGTGAGGAGGAGGAGGAAGTTTCTGGCAGCTCCAATTGGGGATGTTTTACCCCTCTTTGATCCAAGAAGAAACTCATGTAGGAATCTATGCCACCAACCAAGATGGTGCAAAAGAAAACAGGATTACCATTTTTATCATTTAAAACTTTTATGAAAAATGTTTTTGGTTATTTTTTTCATCACAAGGCCCTCGCAAGCAAACATGTTGGGAAGAGAAGGCATGGCTCTAAATTAAACACTTAAAAGCAATCATATCCATTAACTTTTGGATGTCAAAGCTGGATCACTGACTCAAGGTTGCCCAATATGCGCTTTAGGTACTAGCTTGCCCTGCTGCAGGTGTCATGTCAGAGAGGGTCTTCACCACAATGAGTGGAATATATGACTGAGAAGCTGCATTTAAACAATCTGGGGTGAGGGTGTGAATTTGTTTGGGTGCACACTTTTATAGCAATCACATTCATGAACTATTGTCTGCACAGGTTGGAGGTGGCCCTACATTAGCCTTACCTGCTACACGTGTCATGTCAAAGATGGCCTTCACTGAAACGGCGTGATTTTGTGACTGAGAAGCTGCATTTTCATAACCTAGGGTGAAGGTGTGCGTTGTTTTGGGTGCATAGGTTTCAAATGATGCAGTGAGGTGCTGGGGCAATAAAAGCAGCTCTTGAAAAACCTGTCAGAAACAATTACCTAATGATGCCTAATTAGCCAAAGCTAAAAGGTGTCATTTATTACAAATAAAAAATTATACATAAAATTATATAAATAAAAAAAGAAATATTTCTAGATTCACCCCACAGTATGTAAGCACTTTGATAAGGCCTCAGTTTAAGAGGGAGAAACCAGGCAGGTTTATAATTGTGAAATAAAAGATCATTTTTTCACAGAAACAAATCTAGAAATATTGCACAGACTTGATAAAGCAGAAAGTAGTGTTAGTAGGTTGAAGTTTAAGAGGGAGACCCTATGCAGGTTTTAATCAAGAAATCAAAATTAGAGTGTATTATTTCACTGAAAAAAAACCTAAAATATTGTAGTGATAGTATTTAAACACTTTCAGTAGGCTGCATCTTGAACAGGATCCACACCAGACAGCTTTTAATAAAGAAATTTACATTACGGTATATTTCTTTCACAGGTAAAAGACACCAGAGTATTGTAGTGACTATGTGCACAAAATTTAAACAGATTTTAACTAAGCCACATTTTGAACAGGACCTACACTAGCCAGCTTATAATCAAGAAATGAACATTAGTGTGTGTTTATTTCATTCAAATAATGATTTCATTCATGTTGTTTTGACTTCAGTATTCAAGAACTAGTACATTTGTAATAGGATAGACAGCAATCAGCTGTTAATAATAATAATAATTTTAAAAAAAGCAATACAGTTTATTTATTGTGCTGAAAAAGCCCTCCAAATATTGCAGTGACTGCGTACACAGTATTTATCCACTTTTACTAAATGATAAACCCCAACACCCCCCAACTTTTTTCTAACCCTATCTAACAAATGCTTTTCAAGCAATCACCAGCAATACCTCTCTGTGATCTATCACTAACTACTTCATGTCTCTTCCAACACATGGTAAAAAAAAGGCTGCTGTGTACCCTGATGTTTATAGGGAGGGGGCAGACCCAAAGTAAAACCCCCCATGATTGGGCCTTCTAAGCCACTTGACCACAGTTCAGATGCCAAGAAGTCCATTGTTGGTAATTGTTTGCTATAGACCTGAGCGGCCACATTAGTTCTCCATTTTCTCGAACCATGAACGACTTGGGTTTGTGTCAAACATGACCCTATCTATCACTTGTTTTTAATTCTAATTACACTTTCTGGTCCATATTTTATTTATTTTCTTAGGTGAAAAACTAGAGTTCTCTTTTCGTATGTATTAGTGTGTAGGTGAGTGGTGCACTTTAAAGTAATGGTTTGTGATCTTTGTATATCGCACAGGAACGCTGGACAATAAACAGAAGCTATGTAAATTCTGAATGATGGAGTGTTCATGGAAAGTCCTTGTGCTACTAGTTTTTGCATCGCTGGGCATTCAATACACAGCCATCAAGTCTCTCAGAACAACCATGATGTCATCGTGTACCAATGTGATGGCAGAGAACCGATGTGGACACTTGAAAGGTGAGAAAATCACTTTGAATCTCGCCTCAACATATCAGCTTTGCTAGCGGGTGAATATACCATTCTATAGGGTCTGAAATCTAGTGAATTGTCAATAATATATTAAAGTACAGTGGTACCTCGGTTCACGAATGCTTCTGTTTATGAACAATTCGGATCGCGAACAGGAAGTCTTTTGCTTACATTCGTGAACTCTGCATCGGGTGACGAACACAACCGCAGCCATCTTCCTTGCTCTGACACATAGTCGTGGCTTCCTCTAGTTGAGATTGCGTTCTGATAACAGTTTGATTCAGTTCCCGACCAGAATCGTGGAACGAATTAAGTTTGTGAACCGAGGTACCACTGTATATCTAAAACCAGAATCCCTGTCAGCTTCTTATTCATGTGTATCCATTAAGGAGATTCACCCTCTATGTTTGTCCTTTAACAAAGAGTATAGGATCTCCCCTTCCCTATGGTATCCAGCCTGTTATTTGCAGGAGAGCACAATCCATGGCACTCTTTAATACAACAATCCAAACAAAGTCTGATGTGCTGATCAAACTTCATCTGGATCCTTATATTTGTCCCCATGACCATTGCCTCTCTGACCAAAAAGTAAAGAAGGGATGATCAAGAATTTAGAGTTGTATAGGAATAGAGCAGAAATCTTCCAATGGGGGCACTTGTTCTGGTGACAACTGTTTAAGGGGGAAATTTCCTCAGGAAGTAAAAAAAAATCTGATGGGGTTTTAAAGCGGACCTTTACCCATATCTTTAAAATAACAACAAACACACCTTTAGTAAATGTTTACTAATGACAATCTGCAAACACATATTTCTAGATAATTGCCAGCTTTCTATTCTTTGCATACCTTATTTCTCTTTTCCTCCCCGTTCTTCTGACAGTGGCCATGTTTACTAAGGGCAGATTACTAGCTCTCCTATTACTTCCTGGATTTCTGGCTCATAAAACTTAATTTGTCTCAGCATGAGCTGTGAATGCGTGGCTCAGTGTACAAAAAAATAAATTGCTATCAGGCAGTTAAAAGCTTAAAGCTTTTATGGCAGGAGAGGCTTAAACAGTCTCCTCATGTCGTAAAAAAAGCCTCCCAGTAGGCAATCATGTTTTCATACTTCACCTTCAATTTGCAGAGCCATTTGTCCTGCAAAATTGCATGAACATTCATCTTGTGCGATTGGATGCAAAAACAAATGTTATTAGCATATTTTCTTTTCCAGTCGAATGTAATATTAGGAAAATATCACATTATGGCCAATAGATGAAGCTGAGGAGCATGGGAAATGCATTCTTCTTTCCAATGCTCCTCTCCTCCATCTAGTGGCCATAATATTTGTGGCCCTTAACATCAGTCAGCTCATAAATATAAAGGCCTGTGGACAACGGAAACTGATAATGAAGTCTGGCTACCAGGTAAGATATGGACCTAGGAATTGAGGTTTTGTTCCACCCAGTGCTCTACAAAGCCTCCGGACCCAGAACACAGACCTATAAGATTTATAAAAACAAAAACCTTGGTGTATATACATATATATCTATATATATCTATATAGATATATGTATCTATATAGATATACATATAGATACATATATCTATATAGATACATATATCTATATAGATATATCTATATCTATATAGATATAGATATATCTATATATATATACTGTGTATATATATACATTTGTATATATGGACAGTTGTTTCAGTTGAAGTTTTCATACTTTTTTCCATTACAGTCTTGTTATTATTTCTACACATCATATATAAAGTGTTGTTATTTCTACAGATCATTAACATTTTATAAGCTCCAGCTTGGCACCGAGCACACCTTCTCCCACAAACAATTGTACAGACCATCTGCTTGACACATCTGATTAATATCTGCAGTATTCTTCCTGCAGTGTCCATTTTTCTAGCGATGCTTTCTTCCTGTTTAAGCAGTTAGTGTTCTGAAAGGTTGCAGTGACTGTCAGCAGTTTGGGAGGCCATCTTAGCGCTGTCACGGATCCTCATATACATTGATGTATCAAAGATGTGTGCGAACAGCTGGAAATTGACTCATTCCGCTGAAATTGCTACCTTTGCAAAAAAAAAGAATATAGATATAATGACCAAACGCTGTAATGTGCCTGGATGATACATAGCGCTTGTTAGACAGATAGGGAAATAAGGATGACAGCTTGTTTTTAGTTCTACGTTACTCGGCTTCTGAAAGTAGCAAAACAGCAATCATGAATCGCAGCCCAACAGCTTACCTGCCGAGTTCAAGCGCATTTTAAATTCTTTAATCTGTAAACAAAGACACATACACTTGTAAATACCCCACTTCCTGTGTTATATGTATATAAATCAACATATGCAGTGAGAACCTAATTAGTACATATATTTTTTAAAAATCACACGTTGTATAGTGTTTAAGCGGAACTCCAGGGAAAACAGTAGTTAACCTTTGCTGAAGGTCCCTTTCTGCTCTACAGGGGTTAAATGCTTGTCCTTTCTAGGGGTATAACAGGGGTGAGTAACTCTGTCCCTTCAGCTGTTGTGGAACTACAAGTCCCATGAGGCATTACAAGACTGATGTTACAGGCATGCAGGGGCGTCCCGAGGCCGGGTGTCACCCGGAGCGGTTACCAGGTGACACCCCGCTGTGACATCACCACATACGTGCGCATGCGCGGCGATCTTAATTATACCATACGGGAGAGAGAGGAGGGGACAGTCACCCGGCGGGATAAGGTATGTCGCCGGGTCCACTCCTCTCTCCTGAAACTGTCCATGACCGAGTGCCCGACTTTTCAGAGGGGGGTGATACCAAAATGACTGTCAGTCATTTTGGTGTCACCCCTCCAAAGATGTCACCAAAGTGCGGGCCGCAACCCCCTTGTGACGCCACTGCAGGCATGACTCCCAATGGCAGAGGCATGGTAAGTCAGTAATGGGGAGAAGATCAGCTGTAGGGTGGGCAACTCCAGCTTTGGTGGAACTTCAAGTCCCAGGAGGCATTGCAAGACTCTGGCAGTTGGGAAGAGGGAATGTGGATGAAGGTAAGTATTTCTGCTTATTCCTTTCTCCCTAGACAAAATAAGCATTTAAAACTTGTAGTGCAGAGGGGGGCCCACTGCAATGTGTTTTAATGCTGAACTCCAGGCAAACCGCTTAGTACACAGATGGAATACATCAAGTCTTAAGATTTACACATCCCTATCACACAGACAGGCACAATATACAGGCACCTATCACACGTAAAGGCTGTAGAACAGGGGTGGGCAACTCTGCTCTCCAGTTGTTCTGGAACTAAAAGTCCCGTGAGGCATTACAAGACTGACAGTTACAGGCAAGACTCCGTGAGGCACAGGCATGTTGGGGTTTGAAGTTAAAGCGCAGCTGGAGGACTGAAGTTGGTCACCCCTGCTGTAGAAGGATTCAAGAGTATCCTCTCTTGACTCCCAGCCTGCTGATTCGACAGCAGCAGGCTGATCAGGCCATTTGTCACTGTCACCCTGTTCTCTTCTCCTATCATCATGTTCTTTGTCGGCACATTTGCAGGCGGACCACCTGATTGGATCCCAGTCCTGCGCCTTCCTCTCCCAGTGTTGCTGTATAGGGGATTGCAAGAGGCTCAAATTCAGGTACTTGCACTGCTTGCATGAAAAAGAACGTCTTTACTCCACATCTCTGTGACTAGTGCAGACCCCATGTATACACTCACCTGAACACTCAGATCTCTGTTTATAGAAGGTCAATGATAGCTTATTGGAATTTAGCAACAACTCTCTCTCCCTGCCATTCCAATCCAACTCAACTCAACCCAACATTCCACCCATTAACTGATAAAAGATTATAGGAAAGACCTTTATAGTAAAGTAGGCGGTTAGTTTAAAATTATTGGTAAAACAATATCAGCGTCCGCATTTGTATGTGCATACAGCACATCATCTCCACATTAGCATCTTATCAGGACCCCTTTGTAATCATAAGCATAGGCGGTATTCCACTTGTGTGATAACACATTACATCATTTTTTCCTCCTACATTTTTTCATTCTTTGAAACACTGCAATGTCGCTTACATCTGATGTTCTGATAGGCCAAATTACACTAGGGCTGATCTATAAATGCCCTGCCGTTTGCACGACACTAATGCCAATAGATGGATATGAGATGCACACAAATTTCCTATACTCCTCGGTGCCATCTAGGGGCGCTAGTGCCATGTCAATGGCATCTGTCCCCCGGGAGGAACAATTAAAAATCAGCCCCTATGGCTGTCTCACCTAACATCCTAGTGCTGCCATTGTAACCAACAGTAAAGTAAGCGCATAGGACAAGAACTAACCTTAAATATCAGACTTAAAAATACAATGAAACCATGTAAGAAACAACCAAGTACAATACCCACCTCTCTTATTCTCCTCCTTAACAGTATTGGGTCTACTACAAGGTGCACTTAATATTATAAATCAACTCCCCCCCCCCAAAAAAAAAAAAATCCCAGTTTTGGATGGATGTGAGCAGGTTCAATCACTAAACGGCTTCTTATAAATCTCATCTCATATGCCTCAAAGAAGTGACCAATAAAACATAATTTTTTGTTTCTAGCTGTGGTGTGCTATTTTTCTAGCCAGATGTGTCTCTGGCTGTGACATACAATAGCTGCAGTGACTTAAAGGGTTATTAAACCCTCAGCGGTTTTTGCATAGATCTACTACTTGCAAACAGTAGATACATTAAATGCAAAATGATTTTCAAAGGGCTAAAACTTACCTGTGTCTCCGCCGCCTAAACCCATCCGAACATCTCAAAATTCTCGGGCGGCTGCAAAGGATCCTGGGGCGGGCGCATGCGCAGTTCAGATCTTCGGCCGGGAGACGAGGAGAGACACAAGGTAAGTAAATGCAGCAGCAGCGTGCACCCGCACAGGCTCCGTGGGACAGGAAGACACAGCAGTCAGCGCTGGATTAGAGACCGGTGTTCTATCGAAAGCTCCAACTCATTGAAATCTCCAACTACCTCACTTAAGGTGCTCAAAAAACTTGGCGCTTTGTACAGTTGCGGTGCGCATAGCTTTTTTAGAATACTCATTGAGTTTGTCACTTGCTGAATATTGTTAAAATGCAACTGTACAGAGCTCCGTTAGTCTTTGTGTTTTGCAGTCTAACGCCATCTGGTCGAAATCTCCAACTTGCAAGTACCCGGCAGTGGGGTAGTTCGAGATTTTGACGAGTTGGACCTGTTGATAGAACACCAGCACCAGCGATGGAGGGAGTCCTGAGAACTACAGGAAAGAAGAAGATGATCGGATCAAGAGGCATAATTTAAGCTAAGTCCTTACATTAGCATTGTGCGGGAAGGGGGGGGTGGATTTTAGCGTTCAATGCAACTTTAAGTTGGATTCTTCATTAACTCCAATGAAGAATACAGCAATATAGGAGAGTATTACGAGTGGTAGTATGGTTCAGTAATACAACATGCCTAAGCAAGATCCTCAAAGTTCAAAGTTTGTCAACAAAGTATCTTTTAACCAATCTTTCTGCAGACTGTGATTCACACAACATGCCACTAGGTGGTGATCAAGCTTCTGCTTCTATCTTGTGTCCACAGAAGGGACATGACTGAAACTTTTAAATACATTCAGGGTGTGAATAAGGTTCAGGAGGGCAGTGTTTCAATATAAAACTAAAGGTCCCCATACACCTTGCGATTATCATACGATAATCGCGGGAAATGCAGCGATCGTACAATAATCGGCAGGTGTATGGAAGGCGTGTGACCGTTCCTACTGTACGGTCGCACGTCTTTTGTCGAATGAGCATGCTCAGTCGACAACTGCGGAACAGGCCGGTGTGCGCACGCGCACACTGCCCGTTCAGCATTGCGGAAACATAGGAAGTGTGTGCAGGACACAGTTCTGAATTTCTGATATGATGAACAGTTTTTTTTGCACTTATGAAAAGAGATATTGAAAAACTTTCAATTATATATTTAACAGACCAAAGGGAAGCAGAATTGACAAGATCATAGTTTATTGTATATGTTTATATAAATATTTGGGGCATATTGTTTATTTTTATCATATTTCTGTTACTTGTATTGACTTTCTATTATTTCATATTGCAGATAACATTACAAGAGCATTGTGTGAAGGTGTCAACACCCAACAAAGCAGAAACCATATACTGATATTTGCCACCGCCAGAAGTGGGTCGTCTTTTCTCGGCCAGCTGTTCAACCAAAACCCTGAAGTCTTTTACTTGTTTGAACCCCTTTACCTTGTTCAATACACACTTGCAAACAAGCATCCTGCCATAGACAGGCTCTCCCTTCTTGGGGCCTATAGGGACTTGCTTCAGAATCTGTACGACTGTGACTTTTACCTCCTGGAGAACTATATCACGCCAACGCCTAAAGATCATGTGGCATTGTCATTTTTCAGACATGGAGCCAGTAAGGCTTTGTGTTCACCGCCTGTGTGTGAACAGTTAGAGAGACTCGAGGAAAATATATGTGTGAAGAAGTGCCGTAGGATAAACTTGACTTTGGCTTCTACCGCTTGCCGGTCGTATAAACATATGGCCATAAAGACAATAAGGATTCCAGAAATCAACCATGTGAGGACGCTTGTAGAGGACCCGCGACTAAATCTAAAAATTATTCAGCTAATCAGAGACCCCAGAGCTGTCCTAGCGTCAAGGATTAGTACTTTTGTAGACCAATATAGGCTATACCAAATTTGGAACTCCTCCGGGAAAATGCCATATAACTTAGACCTAAGCCTCATCAAGAATTTGTGTGTTGATTACAGTAGGTCGGTAGAGACGGCCTTCAGTAGACCGTCATGGCTAAAAGGGAGATACATGCTTATCCGATATGAAGACCTTGCCAGAGATCCCCTCAAGAAAGCAAATGAGATCTACAACTTTGTAGGCTTAGAATGGAAAGACAACCTCACCGCATGGATTGAGGAGAACACCAATGCTTCTGTCCCTTCTAATGTGAGCAAATATGGCACAAACAGGAATTCATCAGAGACTCCTGAATATTGGAGACTCCATCTGCATTTCAACATTGTCCAAGCCGTGCAGGAGATATGCAATAAAACCTTAGCCCAGTTTGGATATCAATCAGTAGACTCCATACAGCAACTCAAAAACCTCTCTCAGACCCTCATCGAACCAAGGGAATATCTACCATTTATTTAAATCTGAACTCCAGATGGATATACGAGACGCAAGTTAAACCAATCCTGTATTCATTAATACGCCGTTAAATGTATTTAATTTTTTTTATGCAAAAAGTGTTTTTACCTGAATTTGGCTTGGTATCAGCCTATTGCAGTCCTCTGTACAGCAGCACTTAGACTTGTAAAGGTAGAGGCAACACACAGAGCCAATCAGTTGTTCTACAGTTCTCACATGCCAATATTAGACATGCTGATAGAAGGAAAAAGCAGAGTCACAGAGAAATGAGCTCATCAGACTGTCTGTGAAGGTTCTCATTCATCCAGGTCATGGAATATCTGTAAAAAATACAGCAAGTCCAGTTGCCTTGACTTATTGTTTACAGATAGCTCATCAGACTGCTACTTCTCTTTTTACTGTCCAGTCACAGGCTGGGGGG